ATGGATGGATGCTATCTAAGCTTCTGCTCCTGCAAGATCTTGTGGCGTTCATGCAAGACATAACCCCCTTCCCACGGGTCCTGATGTCGATCTTCTCCACATTCTTTTGTCCTGCAAGCCATAATGTGGCTGGGATTGTACTTGCCCCTCTAGGTCCCGCCTTGGGGTTCATAGAGGAAGATGCTAAGGTTTCACAGGTTCAACTTTACGACATCACCTCAGACATCGCTCAATATGGAAGTTCTCATGCCCCATCACTCCCTCCCTGTCTTGCTTTCTGGGCCAAATATATGTGATTCCGTTGGCGATCACCCCTCTAGGCTCCGGAGTTTTTACACTATTGCTTTTCTTTTACTTCCATCGAGAATACCATTACAGCTGATAGGAAGCTATGATTAGGTCTAGGGGCTGTGTTCTATTGCCTCGCCCCAGATAGGTGTCGGAAACCTTCCAAAAGAACGCCTCCAGGGCTATAGAACCAGAATTGGCGTACCATGCTTTCTCTAGCATTTCAATGACCATTGAGGAAGAGCCTGGTTCACTGCACTCGAGGTTTATTACTGGTCTTGCAAACTGAGGCCATCTACTCCCAAGTCATGTGTACAGCAATCCGCCTACCTCCCCATTGCTCAGTCCCTCATTGGCCTGGAAGTGAGACCATATGTCCAGGCTCGCTACCGATCAGCACTCCCTGTTTCTGTATCGAGTTTCCCCCCTCTTCCCTATCCCCCCAGGCCTTACTCTCACAGTCACACGATAAGGGCCCGCTATTCTTTGCGGCGACTAATAGCCCTACCTGAGACACAGGGATAAGAATAAAGAGGCTACCTAAGTAGAAGTGGGCTCACTATACTGGACCCTGGCTTCACAGTGCCCAATCGGCTGTGGAAACCCACCTATTCCATCCTTATCCGTTTAGTGCCAATGTGAGCTATTATTGCCTTCCCTGGCGGCCCCCACCTGTCCCTCTGTGGGCCTTGGTGTGTATATGGCTGAAGGATCAAGAACTATTACCTGCGTAACTTGCTTCCTAGGGATAGTCATTGAGTAACGAGAAAGTAACATTTCGCTTTGTCGAGGATTATCCCTGACGATACTAGTGTTCTTAGTTCTCAGCCCTTCAATGCCGTTCAGGCCTACTTCAGAGCACTTCTGGGCTCATTGCTAGGAATACTGGCGGCCATTACAACACGGCTTTTTGCTATCCAGAACACAGCGAGGAAGAGGAAGACATGCTAAAGGTAGATAATATTTTCTTGGCCGCATAGCAAACCAATGCCAATATCTATTTATGGATGCGATATTCATGGCGATATTCACGCTGCCAAAACTTCAATGCTCAAAAGGGTATACAAAAAAACCTCATTGACCCTGCATTCTCTTGAAGCGCTCCTCCGCAGCTCTTGCTCTGCGCTCTCTCTCCAATCGCATCCTCATCTCAGGTGTCATACCTCTACTCTCCTCATCTCTCCTTTCAGCCGCAGACTTCTCAACAGCGCCCACAGTACGACCACCGGATTTAGTCGTTCTCGGTTTCGCCGCCTTCTCAATCTCTTCGCGTTTTAGGCGCTCCAAACTCGCCTTACGCCGGGTGGATTCCTCCTCTTCGGCAGCTTTGCGTTCTTTCTCAGCTCGGCTCTCGGCGTCGGCTTTGGAGACCGCTGATGGAACCTTGGCTGTTTCCCAGTCCCATTTTGACTCGCCGAGATCGTGGCGGGCAATGCGGAACGCGTCGCGTGTGGCTCGGTCGCCGGTGAGTTCAAAAGGAGTTCTGCCTTCGTTGTTGACTACCGTTGGATCAGACCCGGCTTTTGTGAGGAGGGCCGTTACTACGGCTGGTGCATCGAGATTTGCGGCGAGATGGAGGGGTGTGGGGCAGCGGAAGTTTTGTGGCGAGTCGGCAGGCGTAAAGGTGAAAATAGGAGGTATGGAGTTGTTTGAGATGTAGGACATGAGGGCGGGAACCTTTGAGCGGCGAATAAGTGCCTGTAATTGAGATGTGTGTAACAAGGCAGCTTCCTCTTCTTTCGAGAGCTTCGGCTTCTGTGGTTGCGGCTTTTGGACAGGCGTAGATGGCTTTGATTCTTCTTCTCGCCGCTTGGCTTCAGCCGCAGCCAGTGCGGCTTCGTCCACCTCGCTGACCTTCAACCGGGTCAACTCCTTGAAGGACCGCATGAGCTCACCTTGAGTCGCGCGGCGAGTATTGAAGGGGAACCCTCGTATACGGGGGTCATTCTGCCTAAGGACCTGTCCATCATATTGACCGAAAAGAGTCTTTCGATTTGTCTTTCCCGTAGCTCGGACAAATAACAGCTCGGCTTTGTCAATCATCTCTCGCCAATCTGACAACACCTCTCTGATATCCTTCTCAAGTGCAGCCTCGTTGTAACGGCGCAGACTTGAACCTGCTGAATGGGCAGCACCGCGCGACGCATCACTTGCAGACTGCGAGCCACCCTGCTTTCGCCGCGTAGTATATCGGTGGAACGTTTTGTGCGCAATGACTCGAGCCTGCCTGTCTTCCACTCCTCCTTGCTTTCGGTGTATCTCCGGTGCTAGCGAAACCAACATAGCCGCAAAGTGGCCACCGCCGATCATACACATGAAAATGTGCGGGCCAGAAGCAGCGGGGTCAGGCACGTTGCTTGCCTTGTTGGTGCGCGCTTTGATTGGCGCAAGCTGCTTTCGCCGCAGAGTATCAACCAGATGAGCGGGCTCGTCCTGTTCGGCATTTGAGAAAATGGCCCTGTAGACGCCTAGGGACTTATTTGAGGGCAATCCCGAGCTAGACAGCCAGAATAGGGGATGTTTCGGGGTGATTGGTGTCTCAGTCATTTCCGGATCCTCATTCGGGTGGGACAGCTTGGCCTGCTTTTTCAGCAGGGCGGACAGTGTTGTGCCCGCAGCCCCCTCTGCATCCTCCTCATCTGTCTCCGATGACTCAGAACCAGATATAGACTCGTCTAGTTCGCCGATCGCCTTTGCGAATTCGATTTCCTCCAGAGGCGCATTCCCGCGCAACTGGGCTTTGATGTTATATCGGTGATGGTCCGAGCGGACATGGCTGCGTTGTTCCTGTACGCTGTTGTAAGAGACCTTGCATAAGGAGCATAGGTTGGAGGTTGCGATCGCAGAGTCCTGTGCCGCTAGTTCGAGGTCTATCGGAGAGGGTTCGGGTTCTTGTTCGGCGACAGGTTGGCTTGTGGTCTTGGCCGTTAAGCTCGCAAGAAGTTCTGGCGGCAGATCGTACACTGGAAAGATCAGCGGAATGGATCAATGACGATATGGGGCTTCGGAAGCATACCATAGAGAGGCCTCTTCAAGAGCTCCTCCATTTGAGTCGTGTCGACCATGATGAGCTGGGCGAAGAATGTGTATTGAGATCGTGGTGCCCCTCCAATGACGATGATAAGTGGGCTCTTACCGCCTAAGAGCAATGCGGGCACTATGTGAACTCTACGCGCTTTGCCGTCGCTTTATGTCTAGATACTGAATCTACAATAACTTTGAGTCATATTGTGAGGTTTTGCTCAGCCTCATTTGGGACCTCGAGAACGTTCTTTTTCTATGAGTAATTCTAGGCTTGTGGGCTGTGCTCAGAAACATCAATGTATCGGCGTCCCGATTAGGAAATTACACCCATGGACATATTTTCCTGTGCTCTCATTATTTTTTAGCGCCTTTGCAGATCATCATTCATGCTAATGGGTATTTTCTCTAGCCCTATTTCTGTCTACGTTGTATACGCTTTCTTCTTTTCTGGTACCTGTTGTCATCACGTGATTTGAGAATAAGAAGTGATGCCGCTAAGCCCGATTCGCACCTATGATACATTATGACGTATCACAGTTTATACATAGAAAAGTCGCTTGTACAAAGTATGCTTTTCTTTACCGCCTACATATACATCTACAACATAAAAACACCAGCTAAAAAGACTAATAAAAAGACTAATAAAAAAGACCAACTAAAAAGATCAACTAAAAAGGAACCACAAGGCCGCAAACGCGGCCGACTATTCTTGTATTTTATAATTCGGCTTATTCCGATTCCTTCTCTTCACGTTATCTCGATATAACGACTTAATAACCATCTAAATGTTTATATCGTAGATATAACATGATATTCTCGAGGCAATTGACCTAGCAATTCTAGATCTAAAGATTTCAGAGGCTTTAGTGGCTCTAATTGTGGCAAAAGGAGATAAATGTAGTAGAACGCTGTGAGGGCGTGGAGAATGCCGGATAAAGGCTATGAACTAGATCAAGCGCCTCCTTGAACAGCCACTTGATATCTGTGATATGAGTATGTAGATTGTCATTGAGATAGGATTCTAGCCTTGTTGTGTCGGCATCTACTACTACCGTCTCTCTTCCTACAAAGGCAATGATGTTAGTACCGAAAAGATAACGGTTAAGTGAGCATCTCGAGCGAGTTTTGTGTTCTTATTGTTTGATTTAAAGATGATGACTGGATTTAATGCTTTAAATTGAAGAGTAATACACAGTTTGGGTATGATATGCGAAGAATGATCGATGTAGATAGACGTGGGCAAAGACTTGCAACTATTTCCGATTTTACGATATATGCATTGTTTGGATATGATTATATGATGTCTACTTTGTATGTTGTACAATGATCTACCCATGTTGTAGTCCTTTCAATGTAATCTGTTAATAGTGCATAGTCTGGATCAACAATAGTAATCTATCCAAGAAGTCTCTCCAATTTGAATGTTCCCGGTTCCTAGTATTAAGTGTCGATGAGACAGAACCTGACGAAGGGCTCTCGGAAATAAATATTGATATCATAGGTACCACGGCCAGAAAATCAAAAATAGTAAGTCTTGGGAGGTAGTCTAAACGGAGACCTTCAGATGCATGGTGGAATGTGAATCGAAATTGGAGAGTTGAGAAAGTCATGATCTGGTCACTGAAAAGCGATGGAAAATATCAACAATAGGAGTACCTCTTGAATGAGTTGGCGTAATCAACGTCTCATTACCCAATGTCCCGTCGGGAGGAGCCCCCAGAAGCTGTAATATGAGGAAGCCAGAAGTCTTGGTAAGTAATCAACTGATCCTCTACCCACAGACACCAACGACCAATTTGGAGGCCTGCAGATTTCAAGTCGTAGGGTGTAGTAAGCCATGTGTAAGAAGGGTCAATCTCCAAAATGACTCTTCCTGCAATGCCTGGCTCCTGACTCGATGCCTGCCGACTCGTACGTGTATAACCCAGGATGATACCTTCTCCGCCGGAGCCAAGAACAATGTTTGCTATCTTTTGCGCAAGCTCTTGGGCACGCGCTTGATATCTGAGCGTGGTAGAAATTCCAAACTTCCGTCGATCCCAATCTGTAGTGAAGGGCGTAAGAACGAAGACTTTGGGTGCGTAGATTGCATTCAAGACACCGGGATTCTGGTCAGTCCCAATCAGACCAGTTACACTTTGTGCATATACGGTTCCATCTCGGAGGGAATTGAACGCATTTATTGTGAAGAAGTTGTCATCAGTTGGATTGAAAGCTTGGTCAACGAACACAGGGCTCTCCCAAATGTGTGAGATATACACACCCTTCTCAGACGCTATGATCACTGATGTGCATCCATAAATACCCTTCACCCCCACAGCTGAGTGACCAAATGATGGATATTCGAACCATTGTGCAGATACTGACCCAAGCTGGTCAATCCAAGTTGGTGCCAAGCTCTTGACGTAGTTGCTGTAAGGAGGAGAAGCTTCCTGGGCATCATATGCAATCAACGAACCGATACTCAGTCTCTCATCTTGATCGCTACAAACACTTGTCTCGAAGGCAGGCTGTGTTGGACTTGCGACTCCCTTACTTGTAGCAATTTCACAACTCTCAGCTGGTGGAAGATTGGGAATATCCGTCGAGACTAAGGCAAAATTCTCGATCGTGGCCACCACTCCAATGCTGGCACTGCTCAGAGAGACTATTCTCATAGGGCTTAACCTTTCGTGGGTATCGGAAGGACATAGTATTTGAGTATCACTTGTTGAGATGAACCTAGGAACTGCGGCTATTGACCCAGTGGCGGAGTATCCAATAGTGGTAGCAGTACTTGACGGTGAGTAGGTTGTTGTCGAAACAGTGGAATCGTCAGTAATGAGATCCTCCAGGCTGTCGCTAGTGGCTTTGGAATCATTGGTATCGATTTTATCTGAAACGAACTTCAACCTCTCGTTGAAGGACGACCATGTGGCTGTGGTGTCTCCAACGGATCCCATTAAACCTCTCTTTTTCCTTGCATCACATTCCGAGGATGACGAAGAATCACCTAGTATGGCAGATGTGAGATTTCCAATCTCACTCTAAGCACCTTCGACCTGGCCAAGGGTTAATAATCCAAGTGGAGCCGGAGATTGCGATGTGGGAGAATACAGCAACCGCATTCAATGCTAGTTCGGGGCTTGTATATCGGTTGTAACTGGTGAAAGTTTTATTAGGAAAGAGTATGATACCCCTGTCAGGATAGGTGCGGCCAGAGGTTTGCTAAACTCGGGGATCATAGAATATGCCAATGTTTATCAACCGCCATAGGCGGTTAGCATTTCTTGACTGCAGCAATATGGTAATGCTAAGAAGAGGTGGTGGGAGAAGACTCTGTGGGGGTAAAGAGCTAAGTGTGCTCCTAGTGCCACTGATACTCCGAGGGATAATTATATGATAGGGACTAAGCTAACACGTTGAAAGAGCTGCATGTAAAGTTCCTGCTGCAGACAATGACAACAAAGCTTGTTTGCTTGGGCTTAGATATACAATAGGATTGTGAGCAATGGTATAAATGCAACTTCCTATCACTGAAAGGTTCATGCTTTTCGCATTGGTTTGTTGACAGTTCTGTCTGTTTTTGATGATAAACAGTATTTCATTAGCACCAAAAATAAAGGATCTCTATTCACAGTTCTGTCTTCCTAGTAAGATTTTAGTCTGAATGATCTCGAATACGCAGTAGAATAAGATAATAAGAATATCCTAATTATCAGCACGACTGACTGCTGATTTATTGTCGCTAGATTAACTTAGACTGAGTACTTGAGTTGAGCAGTGACTAGAGTAAAATTTATGTGTTCTATATGCATCTATACGTACCGGATTTCCCCTGGGATAATTTTTAATTTTGCCTGCCTTTCGATACTTCCAAGACAACAGGAGGCGGAGGCGGGCTCCGCGGGCTCCGACAGACACATTGTTTATTCACAACCTTTCTCGATTTTGACTTACGCATAGTTTTGCTTTTACTTTTCAAACTGTGAAATATGTCTGAACACTCCGAGGATAATATTTCCCTACATTCTGGACGAGCAGTAGGGGCTCCAAGCATTTGAATAGAAGTTGATATGCAAGCTAACTTTCAAGTGTGATCGATGTCACCAACGAAAGGTTAGGAAATTATCTACTATGTCTATCGTATATCGCATTTTCTAACCTAAAGTACCAGATACGTTGTGATAGGACGTTCCCATGTTCGAATTGCCAATGCGCGGGATCAGACTGCAAGGCATCCAACCGTGCTACCAGACAGAAGCGGCCACGAGTTTTGATATCATCCCAGTAGTAAGCCCAGATAGATCGAATGATGTAGTGTCGTATGCTAATTCCATTCTTCTATTTAGCGAAGAGAAGATTGATCTTATTGACAAAAAGCTCAGCCGACTAAATAGTCTCGTCGAATCGCTTATCACACTCAATTCAGTGAGATCGACGGGTATTTCTCTCAATCAACAAGATGACTTGAACAATTTATCTGCATCAGAAGAGATGCCATTGCAAAGCACGCCTGTGAGCTTGACTACTGCGGAGGGACTCGCTATTAACGCCCAATCGTCCAACAATCGAGTCGGGGCGCCTCTAAATGAAATCACAAACCATACAATGCTAGATGAAGGGCAATCTTCACTGAAAGCTCATTCCACGTTTGCTATTGATTTTGCGCACTACGTCGTCGGCTCAAGTCAACCACTGGGGCAAAGTAACCAGGACATTGGAAAACTACTAGACACACTACACCACATACGAACCGCATCGAACGACCATCGTTTCTCATCAAAGCTTTTCCCCTTAGTACATGCGACGACCCCCTCAGAGTATGAGCAGCATGACATGCCCCCATTGAGAGCCGCTATCCAACTCTTGCGAGAAGCCGAAGGTACTCTTCACCACCATTTGTTTATCGCCTCAGACTAATTTCTTGTGTGCAGATAGAAAATGCTTCATATTCCGTGTGTTATGTCATTTACTCAGCCCACGAAGTCTGTCAGATCTATGTTTGAAAGTTTACTTTTCTTCTGATTACTCCAATGCAGAGTTTATCATTGTGAACGCAACTTTGAGTTGTGAGCACGTCGATTTCTCGGAGACATCAAGTCAAACTAACATAATATGCAGGTCTGGCCTCTGACACAGTTATCGGGCCGAATGACGCTGAGGCATACGATGAGCACAATAAACTGGTCTCTATGTGTCAAACGAATCTGGAGACGGCGCTTTCAAAGCTTACTCTCTATATCAAACCTAGCTACGACATGGTTCTGGCTCTTATTCTAGGTGTACGTTGATATCTGTCACCCCAGATTTTCCCTTTGTGCTGACATATGAACTATAGATTGTCTATGCTATCAGCGTATCTAATACATCTCTAGCCTGGGTCTTGGTCGGGACAGCATACCAGTGCTCACATTCCCTTGGATTCCACACTCACTCGGATAGTTCAGATGAGCTTTCGCATGAGCCAGGTCAGAGGCGATTGCTCTTCTGGGCGGTCTATTTCTTTGAGAAGTCTTTATCTGTCCGACTCGGGCGTTCTTCTATTATAAAGAACTATGATATTACAGTTCTGTCGCTCGAAGGTCTGGAATCATCAGAGTGCCATGCCATTTGCTATGTCCAACAGATGGTGATGCTAGCTGGCTTGGCTGGCAGGATTTACGAGCAGCTTTACTCGGCCAATGCCCTTCGTGTGACCGAAGATACGCGGACTCACCGAGCACTAGAACTATCACAAGAGCTCCATGGATATTGTGCACAAGCGCATGATACAAATGTTTGCCCGCCTGTTTTCGTTCATTCTCAATGGGAGACATTAGCTGACCAATGCATTTAACAACGTAGCAACTCTGGGCTCAATCAACCGGGGACGAATGTGAACAAAAGCAGATCCACGTTATCTCTGCATCTGACGAAGTCATACGCCTTTCGATGTTAACTCTAATCTACCGCGCTATGCCCCCAGACCCCAATTCCGGGACAACCTTCAGCCTAGAATGCATTACCTCTGCTAGATGTGCACTTGAATCCCATCAGGCTTTTATCCGCGGCTTTGGACTGCAAGCTTCGTCATTACTTCTATCGACGTATGTCAACTGGTATGTGTGGATAGAACTTGGGCTCGAATAATGTCAGGCATAAACTTCTTTGTATTCTGTACTGATATTTGTGCTTGCAGGACCATTTTGTTTACGCCGTTTATTCCTTTCACTGTTATATTCTGCCATACCATCGAAACACGGGACAAGGAGGATTTAAGTCGAATGTACGCCTTCCTCAAATCTATCGAGTGCGCCTGCCAACACTCCAATGCAATTGCCAAATACCATTATCTCTTTGGAGTATTGTATAGCGTAGCATTCCGCTATATCGAGCTAGGATTGCCGTCCTCGCCGATGGAAGAGGAGCAATTACAACTCCGAAGCGAGGTGGACGCGCATTTGAGCGCTCTTGGGCTACACCCACACGCGACAGATTTGACTGGTCACACAGAGGAAGCCAATTTTTTGACGTCATCTGTCCGGTCGATTGAGGAAGCTATTGAGCAAAACCATGCTGAAGGAAACAACTGGGCACAAGAACAGTGGCTTGGACGCTGGGTTTCTTTCCATCAGCAAATGATGGGCTTGTTCGATAATAACGATTTCCCATTTTGAACGTGTCTTTTTTGTCTTTTCAGTTCCAACATACAGAAATATTGCAATATCATGTAACCTGGGCACCTAGTGTATAGTCTTTTATTGGGCTATTGCATGTTCAATCTATGGTTTATAGTGGTAGGAAGTGTTTGACAAAACCTAGCGCAAAATTGGCTATAATTACAAGATGGTATGCGCTCATCTATATTTGGCTTTTGCCTCTTGGCTACTTTATACGGCACGGGAAAAGCCCTACATTGCCTAGTAAACCAATCCATCACTAGTGACCTTGCTGATCCTATCGTATCCGTATCCACGCTTGGCAACGGCACCACGCGGGACTCTTCACAGAGCCGGGTAGAACGGCGAACGTCCAGAACGATTCAGAACGATTCAGAACGAAGGATTGTTAACGAATTGGTTGACCCTCAAGGCACGTACATCCCCCAAACTCATACCCACATGTAGGTAATGTTCTATTGGAAGGTCGATGTTTCAAGATTTATTGGTTTAGGCTATCACATGACTAGCATTACAAGGCCCATGCGTCGCTTTGAAAACCCGCCTTCGTCGATTTCTCAACATAGACATACTCCAATATATAGAAGACTAGAATTTACTATCGCTGTGGGCAACATGTCTTCACAACAGCAGCGTCAACAGCAGCTGATGCTAAATGCATACGGACGTCGAATGCAGATGATGGCTGCTAAACGACAACCAAACATTAGCAACAACAGTGGCACTCCTTTACGACAGCAAATGCAGCCTCAATCAGGGACAATGGGGTCCAAATATGATGATCTGCCCAGACTAGAGCCTGCTGATTATATGTTCATCGGTGAAAATCCCGAGTCGATTGGCCTAGTCCCCGCCTTCTTCCGACCCTTTGAATCCGCCTGCCAGCGTGGCCCCCTCTCCGTTGTTCAGTCCATTGTCTCATCTAAGAATCTCACGCCTGCTTTTCTTCACCATGGTCTCACACGTGCTCTACGCTCTGGTAATATTGAGGTTGCCCGTTATCTCCTCGCTAGTGGCGCACCAATCGTTCGTGAAACTCCAAGCAATATCTTCTTTGTAACCTTGGAATACCAAATTGCCCTATTTGAACTCTTAACCCAGCATGGGTGGACTCCCAACACCCCAGGTTACTATGGCTGTACCCTGCTTCCTCGGACCGTCACGAGCCTCCCTCTTCTTCGTTGGTTCATCGACCATGGAGCCAATCCCAATCTTGGTGTGCAGAAAACCACCCATGATAGGCGTGGTGAGCCAGATACTTCCTCATGTGCTACACTCGAGGCAGCCGCAGTTCGTGGAGATGTTGAGGCTGTGCGTATGATTCTAGATGCGGGTGCTAGGATTCAAAACGGTGTTCCACTACACTATGCTGCGGGGGCTCGTTCGAATCATGATACCAGCAGGATTCCAGTAATGGCACTACTGGTCGATCGTGGGGCTGAGGTTAATCAGAGAGAAGAGTCACGACACATGGTCCCGCAGTATGCGATTGTGTATGCGGCGATGGCAGGGGCAGTTGAGCGGGTCAAGTGGTTGTTAGAACATGGGGCAGATCCATATATAAGAGGGAGCTGGGGTAGTGCAGCTGAATATGCGCGTACCTCGGGAAATGAAGAAATAACGAAGATCATTGAGGAATTTACTAAGGGGAAAGTTTGAAATCCGAAGTTTTTGTATAGCACCAACAAAGAAATATATTATGCTATAATTTTTTTCAAATTGGGGATTTTTCGAATGAAAGAATATGGAGTTACCCTACATTATTACATCCTTTTCCTTATCCTTGATTATACATAGAAAATTCCTCTGCACAGATTATGCTTTTACCGTATTCACATATGTCTAGAAAGACATCTAACAGTCACCAAAAAAGACATTTAAAAGAACACCCAAAAAGGACATCACAAGGCTGCATAAAAGTTCAGCTATTCTTGTATACAATATATAGCAAAGACATTGTTTTTGATATTTTTTTGGAGGGTGAGTAGCATTACAAACAGCGCTAAAAGCCATCAATCTTCCAAAGTGGAATACAACGCCGATAAGCCGAAATAGCCGCACCGGTCTTAGTCCCCTTATCCCCGAGGATTACGTCGTTATCGGTCACGTGGGAATGTCTTGGAAAATTCGTATTCGGGAAATGAGGTGATAAGAAGACATAGCTAGTTAGTTACATGTTGTAGGTAGTTATGTAACTAGTTAATTCATGTTACGCAAATTTCATGCAAATATAGAAAACCCTGCCTCCATATGTACATGTATGATGTATAATAAGTCCGACTTCATTCGTAGGAATGAATATGCCCAGGTGGTAAGTAGCCCCGAACTCGGGATTTCTCCATTGTAAAGTGGAGCTGCCCGTGCTTGCTTTTGTAAGCAGGCTAGAGCACTTGCACCAACCCCCGTCCTTTCTTTGAGGCAGTTCTCCAACCTTGTATCTTTTCTTGCTTGTGCACGGAAAGGCATACTGGGACGAAGTCAGTAAGAAAAATGCTGGATGGCCAATCCCAGGTGGTCCTAGAGGCGTCCCGCCCGGGGCACCTCTTGCATTCCCTTGGATCGGCACTTGATTCCCGGCGGCAGCCCTTCTGTACAGATAGCGAGGGCTGGGGCCCTGTCAGCTCATTGAGGTTCGATCTGACGCCATGCTTTCTTGACGCGGTTGTGGCAGTAGTGGCTGTCTGGGGTACGCTGAGCGGACTGGGTGCGTTGTGGTTGTTACTGAGGAAGCGAATTCCGCAGCCCGTATCGAAGAATTGGCACTTCTACACCAAGTTGGTTAGTACATACTGGACGCCCTCGGACACCCACGGACATCCTTGATGATTTACTGACTGTTATTTTGGTCATCATAGGCCGTTCTCGCCGCTCTTATCGTCGTTACCGCCCTTCAAGCTGCGATCCAAGTTGAATCAGACCCCAAACGCTTCTGGTCCGATTTTCGCTTCTGGTCCTCCGTCCTGACCATCATTTCGCTGGGGGTAATCACTTCAGTGCAATATTTGGAACATTGGCGGAGTAGACAGCCCAATGGGGTTGTCCTATTTTACTGGCTTTTCTTCATCATCGCATACGCAGTCAAACTCCGGTCTCTGGTTGCGCGGAAGGAATACGTCGGCCAACTTCCTTACTTTATCTGCTTCAATATCAGCTTGGGACTAGCACTCTTTGAATTTGTGCTTGAATATTTCGTGCCCAAGAAGCAAAGCGCCTACGATGCGCTGGGAGACGAGGATGAGTGTCCCTACAATTATGCCGATATTTTCTCGGTTCTCACCTTCGGTTGGATGACCCCGATGATGAAATATGGATACAAAAACTACTTGACCCAAGATGACCTCTGGAATCTCCGCAGTCGCGATACCACCCGAGCCACGGGCAATGCCCTGAAGGAGGCATGGGATGAACAGCTCGAAAAAAAGAACCCCTCTCTGTGGACAGCGCTCTTCAAGGCTTTCGGTGCCCCCTATGTGCGTGGCGCGATAATCAAATCCGGAAGTGATGTCCTTGCCTTTGTTCAACCCCAACTCCTACGACTTCTCATTGCCTTCATTGATTCGTATCGACGCCCGGACCCACAGCCTATCATCAGAGGTGTCGCTATCGCCTTGTCCATGTTTGTTGTTTCTGTGTGCCAGACCAGTTTCCTTCATCAATATTTCCAGCGCGCTTTCGATACTGGCATGAGAGTCAAATCAGCCTTGACTGCTATGATTTATGCGAAGTCCCTGAAATTATCAAACGAAGGGCGCTCGACAAAGACGACCGGTGATATTGTCAACCACATGGCAGTTGATCAGCAGCGTCTTGCGGATTTGACCCAGTTCGGCACTCAGCTTATCTCTGCGCCTTTCCAAATCACCCTATGCATGATCTCCCTTTACCAGCTTCTTGGGGCGAGCATGTTTGCCGGTATTGGAGTTATGATTCTCATGATTCCTCTGAATGGTGTCATTGCTCGCATGATGAAGAAGTTGCAGATCATCCAAATGAAGAACAAGGACTCGAGGACCCGATTGATGACTGAGATCCTGAACAATATCAAGAGTATCAAGCTTTACGCCTGGAACACGGCTTTCATGAACAAACTCAGCCATATCAGAAACGATCTCGAGTTGAACACCCTTCGCAAAATTGGAGCCACTCAATCTGTTGCCAACTTCACCTGGCAGTCTACTCCTTTCCTCGTTTCCTGCTCCACATTCACTGTCTTTGTGTTGACAAATGATAAACCTTTGACTACCGAGATTGTGTTCCCCGCCTTGACGTTGTTCAACTTGCTCACATTCCCGCTTTCTATCTTACCTATGGTCATTACATCCATTATCGAATCTTCCGTGGCCGTGACGCGATTGGTTGAATATTTCACCGCAGAGGAGCTGCAGACTAATGCTGTTATCCTCCAAGATGCCGTGGCGCACCCCGGTGACGAGTCTGTGCGTGTTCGCGATGCCACGTTTACTTGGAACCGTCATAGTGGGGAGACTGTGCTGGAAAACATCGATCTCAGTGCACGCAAGGGAGAGCTCAGCTGTATTGTGGGCCGAGTTGGTGCTGGAAAATCTTCTCTTCTCCAGTCATTGCTGGGTGATCTATGGAAGAACCAGGGAGAGGTGGTCGTACGCGGTCGAATCGCGTACGTCGCCCAAGCGCCGTGGGTTATGAATGCCAGTGTCCGAGAAAACATTGTATTTGGACACCGATGGGACCCCTCATTCTATGACCTTACTGTTGAAGCCTGTGCTTTGCTCGATGACTTCAAGAACTTGCCTGATGGTGACCAGACTGAAGTCGGTGAACGTGGCATTTCTCTTTCAGGAGGACAGAAGGCACGGTTGACACTTGCCAGAGCTGTCTATGCTCGTGCCGATATCTATCTTCTGGACGACATCCTCTCGGCAGTTGATCAGCATGTTGGACGTCACATCATCAACAGAGTGCTCGGCAAAAATGGTCTCCTCGGTGGCAAGACCAGAATTCTTGCAACAAACGCAATTACTGTACTCAAGGAGGCTGACTTCATCGGCCTGCTGCGGGACAAGACCATCATCGAGGAAGGAACCTACGAACAACTGATGGCCATGAAGGGGGAGATTTCTAATCTCGTTCGCTCTACAATGGTCGACTCAGATGACGAAGGTACTGTTAGTGGCTCTGAAGACCTTGCTAGCCCCGAAAGCTCAGTCACGACCACCATCATTCAGAACAGTGGTGCATCGGACAGCGAGGAGGCGGAACAACTTGGTGACCTTATTCCCATCAGGGCAGGAGGAGGTGGTGAGGCTCGTAGACGGACCAGTACCGTCACCTTGCGCCGTGCAAGCACCGTGAGCTGGCAAGGTCCCCGACGCAAGTTGGGAGATGAGGAGAACGTTCTCAAGAGCAAGCAGACCCAGGAAGTTTCAGAGCAAGGCAAGGTGAAATGGGGTGTCTACTTGCAATACGCAAAGGATAGTAATGTCATGGCAGTTGTGGTCTATTTGGTTGCCATGATGGCTGCTCAGACTGCTCAAGTGGTGGGCAACTTCTGGCTGAAGCGCTGGACTGAGTGGAACGAAGCCCATGGGACCAATGCTCAAGTTGGCAAGTTCATTGGTGTCTACTTGGGACTTGGCCTGGGATCATCTCTCCTAGTCATTGTGCAGAACTTGATCCTGTGGATTTTCTGCTCTATCGAAGCGTCTCGGAAACTTCATGAGCGGATGGCATTTGCTATCTTCCGCTCCCCCATGAGCTTCTTTGAAACCACACCATCTGGACGCATCCTCAACCGTTTCTCCAGTGACATTTACAGAGTCGATGAGGTACTTGCTCGTACTTTTAACATGTTGTTCGCAAACTCTGCCCGTGCAATGTTTACCGTGATTGTCATCTCAGCAACCACCCCGGCTTTCTTGATATTCGTCCTTCCTTTGGGTTATATCTACCTTAGCTACCAGAAGTACTACCTGAGTACCTCCCGCGAGTTGAAGCGTCTGGACAGCGTTACCCGAAGCCCGATCTACGCTCACTTCCAGGAATCTTTGGGTGGCATCTCGACCATCCGCGCCTACCGACAGGAGAATCGGTTCGCTCTTGAGAACGAATGGCGCATGGATGCTAATCTCCGGGCTTACTTCCCATCCATCAGTGCCAACCGCTGGCTCGCCGTTCGACTTGAGTTCATTGGTTCAATCATCATTCTTGCATCTGCTGGGCTTGCAATTACGTCCGTTGCGACTGGCACTAAGCTTGCGCCAGGCATGGTCGGTTTGGCCATGTCATATGCTCTCCAGATCACCCAGTCTCTGAACTGGATTGTCCGTCAGACTGTCGAGGTTGAGACTAACATCGTGTCCGTTGAGCGAGTTCTCGAGTACGCCAATCTCCCGAGCGAGGCACCCGAGGTGATCTTCAAGCGTCGCCCTGCCATCGGCTGGCCGGCTCAAGGTGCGGTGGAATTCAATAACTACAGCACCCGCTATCGCCCTGGGCTTGACCTTGTGCTCAAGGATATTAGTCTCAACATCAAGCCGAAGGAGAAGATCGGTGTTGTTGGCCGAACGGGCGCCGGAAAGAGTTCGCTCACGCTGGCCCTCTTCCGGATTATCGAGGGTGTTGAAGGAAACATCAAGTAAGAACATATCACTGTCACCTTTCGTCTCGACTCTTTAGGTTAA